TCTTCCGGAAATTACAACACGAGTCGATACAGCCTCCAGTATATCAAGACAAATTTTATTATAATCTAACATCTTCACTACTCACTGTATTGTAGGTGTTTTGGAGTGACAGGTGTTTGGAGTGACAGGTTTAGCGAGCATGCGAGTGTGGTCAGTGTGAGGTTAAGTGACAACCACCACCATCACTCAAGCTCACACTTCACCACCACCATCCCCTCACCACAAGCACACATTACCAGCAGCACGACTCTCTCTCTCTCTCTCTCTCTCTCTCTCCGGTAATGCCACAGCCGTAATAACAAAGGACCAGGTCAGAGTCTTGCCCCACACCCTGACGTCATCACCACACCATCCAGACCTCAGCCAGCGAACACCTTCTTAAACCTCCAATAGTCCGCTTAGTGTCACGGTGACCTAACCTAACCCCCACTAGTCCGTCTCTCTCGCTGCTGTGTGGTCGCCGCTACGCATTACAGTTTCTGACGAGATTTGATGCATTTGGGGGTGGGGGCTGGGGGTGGGGGCTGGGGGTGGGGGGTAGGTTAGGTTAGATGCCCACCAAGTCACAGGTCATCGAAAAACAAGGGGGCGAAAAAAATAAGAGTAAAGAGTTATTAAAAATATACTTATATAAAAGAATAAACTTAAGTGAAAGAACACACGGGTTTAAAGTGTCTGGTGGACCACTTACTGCAGGCAACTTCTGTATCGGAAGTTACTGAAGGATGACCTAAGTTGTTTTTTGGGGAGGTACACGGTTGGGTGAGGAGGAGGAGGACTTTGGTGCAGGCAGACTCACGCCCTCCCGTGTTACCGCTCAGCCCTCCACCACCACCAAGCTACCGTATAATCCAGGTGTAACTCTCTCCCGTCGCTTGAGTGATTCCCCCTTGTGTTTATCCAATTAGATTCAGCATATCCGTGACACCTTAATTGGGATGAGTGGTTTGGGGCGCCCCCACCCACTGCCTCCCACCCACTGCCTCCCACCCACTGTCCACCACCTCCGCCATTACTCCTTGCCACACCTGTGAGGAAAAGGTGAATCCACTCAACTCTTACCTGAACAACGCGAAACACACAAGAGAGATGAGAACAAAGGGCGTGGGATGAAAGAGTGGGAGAGAGAGAGGGATGAAAGAGAGGGAAGGGGGTGGGTGGTGCGTGCTTTCAATGTTAGGAGATGCATGGTGTGGTTGACCTCCTCGAGTGGTGTGGCCGCCTGCTTGACACACACACACACACTCTCTCTCTCTCTCTCTCTCTCTCTCTCTCTCTCTCTCTCTCTCTCTCTCTCTCTCTCTCTCTCTCTCACAGCTCCTTTGGTATAAAATTTTTCTGTCCTGGGAAAGTTTGTTAATGTTGGGGGGAAGGGGTGAGGTTAGGTTAGGTTAGCTGGGGTATTCCTCAGTGAGCATGTCAGTGTGGCTGTGAGAGAATACCTGTTAGACTGGTAGACAGTGTGATAAGTAGACAGTGTCCTGTGGTAGACAGTGTGGACAGTGGTAGACGGTGTGACGGTAGACAGTGTGGCGGTAGACAGTGTGATGGTAGACAGAGTGTGGACAGTGGTAGTGTGTGGAGGTAGACAGTGTGACGAAAGACAGGGTGTGGACGGTGGTAGACAGTGTGGCGGTAGACAGGACCTTCTAGTGTCGTCCAGGCGTCATTTATACACCGCTGAGATGATGGAGTGTGTTGTGTGTATGTTATAGAAGACCCTCCCTCCACTCCCTCCCTCACTCCACTCCCTCACTCCACTCCCTCCCTCCCACTCTCCCTCCACTCCCTCACTCCACTCCCTCCACTCCCACTCTCCCTCCACTCCCTCACTCCACTCCCCCCTCCAATCATTGTACTTGCTCATTCACCGCATGTCAGATTGCTGTAAATAAGCACGCGCCTGTGTGTGTGTGTTGACTCCAGCACATCCGGGAAACAACCTTTATCGTGTTCCTGTTGCCAAAGTTGGTTTATTATGAGACATTTCCTAATGGTAACTGATTGGTGACGTGAACACAGGAGGCGATAACACTACCACCACTCCTCGCTACTGTAAACACTGTATTAATAACTATAGACCTTTATATACATGATCTACAGTGGTGTAGCTATGATGTATCAGGGCTGTTATGGTGTGTGGGGGGGGGGGCTACAATATATATATATACACAGTACTCATAGATCTGATTATTCGGTCTCATAATTACAATCACTAATATAAACACTATCGGCCTGGAGGTTCGATCGAGTCACTGGAACCTCCGTCTGGCTGTGGTGTTGGTGCTTGTTGTGGCTTCGCTCGACCACAATAGGCCTCACCTCTTACATCACCCCGCTGAGGGCAGTAAAGAAGCAGCAGTCTTAACACCTACAGTGGCTGGCGTCTTCCTCAGGGGTTTGTGTCCGTGATATAGTGAAGGTGTTGTCTGGCCTCCCTTACCTGCTGCACCCCGGCCCCATGACTCTTGATGCCCAGGTGACGAGGAGCTAATTAGTAGTGTGTGTGTGTGTGTGTGTGTGTGTGTGTGTGTGTGTGTGTGTGTGTGTGTGTAAACAATGAGAAACCGGATTACAGGTATTTTTTTTTTAATTAAACTTTACAGGTACGTAGTTTGAGCATCGGCCAAAGAGAGGAGATGATGTAATTTAGGAGGAAGTCAGGTGAGGTCAGAGGTTCACAGGTCATGATCACTTCTGGAGGCTGGGTCATGACCTTATGTTTACTTGGTAGTTTGTAAACAACACACTGAATAGATATGTTTTTGTTCTTTGTCTTATCTCTTCCATCTTCTTCATCTCTCTCCAGTTCTCCATCTTTCTTCTCCCATTTTCTCTTCCATGTTTACTATATATTTTTTTACTGTTCTCGTTTTACCATCCCTCCTCCCTTCCTTCTCTTACACCCTCTATACCTTCCTCCTCTCCCACTCTTCCCCCTTTTCCTTCTTACTCCTCCTCCTCCCCCCTCCTTCTCTCCCCCCTCCTTCTCCCCCTCTTTCTCTTTCTCCTCCGCCAGACGCCTCACTTCACCACGTGTTTCTGATGGTGTCTATTGTTGTGTTCCGTTGTTGTTGTTCCGTTGTTGTTGTTCCGTTGTTGTTGCGTTGTTGTGTTGATGTTGTTGTGTTGTTGTTCCGTTGTTTTGTGGTTCAGTTGTTTTGTTGTTGTTGTTGTGTGTCGTCTCTAATGTGATGTAACACCTGGCCTAATTAACCTTTGTGTTGGCTTGATTTACGAGAGTTGAGTTTTAGTAATGGGATTTTTATTACCTGTGACTTTGAATTACGTGTGTGTGTGTGTGTGTGTGGAATGTTTTCTCCGCCAAGAATTTATGCCGGGTTTTCACAGCAGATATTTTAAACACGTCTATTAAAATGTAAGTAATTCTTTTCAGCGTCAAGAAATGCGAATAAATTTTGATTGGTCTTTCTTGGGTGTAATGATTGTAATTATTATTATTTTTTTAAAGTTTATTGAAGGTGTGAGTGAGTTATTTCCTGTAGTGTTTGAGTTATGTGTGAAAGTTGGGGTGATGGATGGAGAGTTGATGGGGGGTGGAGGGGGGGAGTAGTTGGGGATGGTTGAGAGGCGGAGAGTTGCAAGATGTTGTTGATTCATTCTGCGGATGTGGAGTGTTGGGAACGGATGTGGATTTGACTTAAGCGGATGGATGGTTACGTTGGGCGGATGTACTTTGTGTTTTGATAAATTAAGGTCAAGTTGGGTTAGGTTAGGTAGCGTGGGTTGGGGTATGGCCAAGAAGGGAGCGTTGGTTGGGGTATGGCCAACTAGGCTGATGGGGTAGGTAGGGGTGTTGAAGGCGTGGTAATGAGCCTACCTGGACACCTCTCTACCTGTCTGTCTATAGGTGTGTGGCGCTGGTGGTAATTTATCCAGGTCCAACACACCTTTTACCTGTCTTAATTTAACTCGTGTATGAATAAACTGCATTCTGCGAAATTCTAAAATAGATATGCGAGGCCTCACCATTTCCTCTAATATGTCATGGAAGCCACACATCCTCAACATTGCTAAAGCTGCCTCCCGAAAGTTTGGAATGCTGTACAGACACCGTAGCTACTTCATTCCTGAGCAGTTGCTTCAAGTATGTAAGGGATTCATTCGTCCTAACTTGGAGTACTGCTCTCATATCTGGGGTGGCTCTTCTTCTGTCCAACTGTTAGATAGGGTGGAATCAAAGGTATTTCGTCTTATTAACTCTCCTCCTTTAGTTGACAATCTCTCTCCCCTTTCTCTTCGCCGCAATGTTGCTTCACTCTCTCTCTTTTACAGGTACTTTAACGGGCAATGTTCGGTGGATCTGGCATCCTGTGTACCGCCGGCAAGGCCGTGGGCTCGTCTTGCCCGCGGTGCCCACCGTTTCTCTGTGGATGTCGGTCACACTAGAATAACCCGTTATAATACATCCTTCTTTCCTCACACAGCCAAACTGTGGAATGCTCTGCCTTCTTCTGTGTTTCCATACTCATACAATCTGTCTCACTTTAAAAAGCTGATTTTCCGGCATCTTCGCGGTGTAGATTAATATAATCTTTTTCTTTTCTATTTTTAATTTATTTTTACTCTTATTTTTTCGCCACCCCGGCCCCGTTGTGGGTCGATGACCTGTGCCCGGGTAGGGCTATTCCCTGTAAAAAACACACAGAGACACACACCAAACTTAATTTACCGTTTAATAACGATAATAAGAGTAATAATAAGAAAATTACAGTTAGCTGTACAATATGGCGGAGAGAAACAAAAGAACAGTATAGTATTGAGTTTCTTTTGTTAATCAAAGAGGACATGTAAGGGTCAGGGAACACACTCTCTCTCTCTCTCTGTAACACCCAAGTTTATTTTTTAGCAGAATTACGTAAGAAAAACATTATATTTAGATTATTTGGACCTGTTTATAGACGCCATTACGATCACAGGATTAGAATATGAAGTTTGTTTAGTTTTGCACCTGTGAACACATTGCCATGGTTACACAGGTGGGTGAACACGTTGCCTTGGTTACACAGGTGGGTGAACACATTGCCATGGTTACACAGGTGGGTGAACACGTTGCCTTGGTTACACAGGTGGGTGAACACATTGCCATGGTTACACAGGTGGGTGAACACATTGCCATGGTTACACAGGTGGACGGAAATAAAGTCCACAGGAAAAAAAAAGTCCATCCTTATACACATGAACAACTTTACATTATGTATGATGGCATTACACGTAGGTTAGGTTAGGTTAGGTTTTTCCGTGACTTTTGGTTTTTGCTTTTCCTGGATTCTGGTTACACAGCTGCCGGATGCCCACAAAAGCCGTCGGTAATATTTACTCTGGCGGAAACATTAATTGGTAATGAACCGGTAAATGACGGTAAAAGCCGGCGGTTAAAGGTATTCCTGTATTTACCTGCGTAGTGAAGGTTAAAATGGTAAATGTTATATATTACTGGTAAAGTGTTGGCAAGGTTGCCGGGTAATGATTGTGGTAGTTATAAGAATTGGTAAATATAGGCGTAATATCTGTTAAAGCCCCAGGTTACAGTGCAGCGAAGAATGACGAAAATGATTCCGGGACTTAGAAACCTTCCATATCAGGATAGATTAAAGAAACTTAACTTGCATTCCTTAGAAAGACGAAGAGTGCGGAGAGATATGATAGAAGTATTTAAGTGGGTGAAAGGAATCAATAAAGGGGATATAGATAAAGTTCTTATAATATCCGAGCAGGATAGGACTCGTAGCAACGGATTCAAGTTGGATAAGTTTAGGAGGGAGATAGGAAGAAACTGGTTCACAAATAGGGTGGTGGATGAGTGGAACAAGCTTAGCAGCTTTGTAGTAAGTGCGGGAACTCTGGAAAGTTTTAAAAGGAGGCTAGATAGATTCATGGATGATAGAGAGTGGTAGTAACTCTCGACAGGAGCTGCCATGCACAGGTCAGCCGGCCTATTGCAGACTCCTTATGTAGGTCAGGTCAGGTTAAGTTAGGTTAGGTGGTTCTTAATTGGTATTTTATTATTATTTATTATTAATATTATTATTATTATTATTATTATTATTATTATTATTATTATTATTATTAGGTGATGATTGTATTTGGTTCTGAGTGATGACGTGTTTACCTGATATTGATAAACACTGATAAAGATTTAATGGGAAATATAGTGATAAAAGGTAATGCTATGTTGTAAGCCTTAAATAGAGTTGTTTATTGATTTAATAACCCACGTACAGGTGTCCATATCTTGTTAATTAATAAGGTAAAGGTGTTATTATGCCTCGTGTACCTGTGTGTAGTGAATTGTTTTGTTTACCTGTGTACCTTACTAGTTACTTGTGTGTACCTTACTAGTTACCTGTGTGTACCTTACTAGTTACCTGTGTGTACCTTACTAGTTACCTGTGTGTACCTTACTATCACTGCACCCCCCAACACCCTTACTTCCAGACACACATGGAGTGTGATGGGGGGATTTACTTGAGGGTTTATGACATGGTTGTGTGGGGGTAAGGGCCATGTTCTCGGCCTTCAGGGCATAGTAGACCTGATATTCACCCTTACCCTCAACCCTTACCTTTACCCTTATTTCATTCTCACTGATCCTTAGCTTCACTCACTCATTCTTATCTTCACCCTCACTCGCTCACTCACCCTCCCTTCCCTCTCACCTCCTCCCTTTCACCCTCGTCCTCCCTCTCTCCTCCCTCTCTCTCCTCCTCACTCACACCCTTCTCTTCCCTCTCACCTTTCTGCTCCCTTTTACCCTCCCATTCCCTCCCTCACTTCCCTCCTCACCCATCCCCTCACCACACTCGTTCACCCTAACCTACCACCACTTTTTGTGTAGGTAAAGGAGGGTGAAGAAAGATTAGAGGTGGGGGAAGGAAGTTATAGTTCGGAATTGAAGAAATTTAG